CGAGGTAATCCCACGGGGATGGGGCAGCGTCCTCTGGGGGGCGTCGCCGGGGAATTCTTCGCCAATTAACTCGCCGGCGAAAACGGGACGGGACTCAATTTGCTCGGATTTCCCCGCGGCGGAAAGCCGAGCCTAATTCCTTCGTAAATCAGAAGAGGCGGGATATCCTTTCGGGCCGGTGTCGATATCTGGAAGCCCGAGCTTGCGCGGTCCTGCCGGCGTCAGCTGATCCTGGGTTGGTTCACCCTCGGATTAAAAGAGCCTCCCCCGTCGGTGCCGAATGCCGGCCACGCTGGGATCACGGAGCCCTCCGATTGGCCCAGGCCGGAAGGGCACTGACACCCCTGGAGTTAATTCCGGGAATCCATCCTTCTTGCCGGTCCTCCCGTCGCACCCCTTCTCATCGCTTCTTCGTCGGACCTGAAACGGACGAGAAAAATGGATATACGGGCGCGACGCGTTTCCCCATGGAAAGTTCCCGCCGCTCCGGCGAAAATCCCCCGGTGCTATAGTGCCGCCGGCGGTGGTTGGCAACCCTTTGTTACCGTCCTTTATCTTAATTGCTTTCACGGTTCCCGTTTAGATCAATACCCGGGCGCGACTGGTTAGCGAGTTCCGAAACGTCCCGCGAGCGATCGGGCAAGCGGCCTGGCGGAGCTCCGTGTCCAAGGAGGGTCGGGACGCGACTGGCCCCGAGTTTCCCTCGTGCCCTAGCTCGAGCCTCCACCGCGTGAAGCGAGGCGCGAACCGGAACTTCACTTCGCGACTTCTCGCATGTAGATCTCTTAAAGGGGTAACAGCATTCCTGGCCATGGTTTATGCATCGATGTCCGCGTTGAAAATGGAGTCGACACGTCCTGTACGAGTTTTATTTACGGTGCATATTTTAATCGTAAGAATTAATTTAAGAAATGCAGGACGGTATCGTAATACGAAGCTGTCAATTTCCCATGCAAAAGTTGATCCGTATGAACTCGAGGGAATTGTGTCTTAATCCTGAAATTCCTGAAATCCATTATTTTTTTGGCCGACACCTCCCTCAAGGGCACCCATCCAAGGAGGGGCCCACGCTCGACGTCGCTTAACTTTTCGGTTATTTTGCGGGATTCGGTCTATCGACTTCAGCGATGACTGGCTGGCCGATTTCAAGAGATCGCGATGGTTAGGACGGTAGGCTGAAGGTCGGTTTCCATGATTCCGGCGACCGCGTCAAAACGCGACGCTCGCAGCCAATAATCTGGCCATTAGGGCGTAAGGGCGGCCCTCGTGGCGCGGCGGCCGGGGACTGGAGGGCCGGGACTACCGGGGGGTCCTTACAAGCACGTAAACTCGGTTTTACTGGCAGTTAACGTTTTACGACTCAGACGGTCTGCTCGGGCGGTGTAGCGGGCGTGCGAGAGCGCGCGCGTCGCCCGTCCCACACGGACGCGTCGCCGCGCGCGTCTGCGGGCGCGGCGCGTCGCGACGCTCGTGAAAGCCCCGAGCGAGAATGCACCGTCCTGTGTCGGGGGTCGTTCGGGCTTGAATTACATTAATTTGACACCCCCTTGAAGGCTCTCCTAATTTCACGGCGGCGACTCGCGATTGCCGCCGCCGCGCACATGCGCGTGCGCGTTGCCGCCGGCGCACGTGTCGAGGGGGTGCCGCCATCTTTGTTTTCCCGTTTGGAGCGCACTTCATTGGCCGTGCAAAATCGTGGGAAAGAAATTCGTTATTAATGAAATTCCACCCCGAGGAGACAACTACATTGAAACGAAAAATCTATTTCTTCGAACGGCGTCAAAGAAATACTTCGTTAATTCGAGGAATCATTATCTGACTCAAAGGAACTCTGATAAATTGTCAGAATTCTAAAGAAATTATGCATGCAGTTTAGTCATGTTTATTCGGGCTTTTGTATTTAGAGAATATTTCTTTGATACTGTTCAAAGAAATATTTCAATAGTTCAATGAAATTTTGTTTCTTAGCGTCATAGTGGATATTAATGAAATCCTTGCGAATAGGTGGGTGGTAAAGAAATTCGTAGCAATTGAAGTCGTACTGTAAGAATTTAGGGGAATGAAATTTATCCTAAAAATGTGTACCGGAGAGATTTATGATATGTAATTTTGCGTTTGTGGATTTAGTCTTTTTTTTTAGTGCGGTGTGGTTAGATAATGTTAATTTTTAGGACGTATGGAGGATCGAGAAGTATGCGTTGATCTTTGTATTGTGTTAGAAGATTATTTCGGTAATAGAGGAATATGGGATGCGGAGGAATCGCGATGTCGACTTAAAGGATGTAGAATCGCGGGGGAAGATTTCATCTCACGTATCGTCATGAGACCTGACCTCTTTCCGACTCTTTAACGACTGTCCTGCAGGGCTCGAGAGTCCGGGCACCTCGCGGACTTTAGCGAGTCGTTAAACGACCCGGCAGTCGTTGTAAACGCCGTTTTATTTCGTCGACTTTGCCGGCCGGCGACTCGAATAAAACGGGACCGTTTCAATTTTAATTGTCCATCCTTTTCCCCGCTCACGAACTCCTCCTTTTCTGCCCTTTCTCGTTCTCGTCTGCTGCGAAATTAAACTTTGACGGTCCAGACGATCGCACCTCTCGCTTAAATTTCCATATACACCCTTATCTTCACTTCAAGTTCCCCAGAAACCAGGAATTATCTCGTCAGAAATTTCCCCTGCGATTAATATAATTCCTGGAAAATTAATCTCGACGTGGCTCTCCCCCCACTTTATTCTTCCAAATTTTCTGTTCCGCATCTTCGTCGATAAAAATTGATGGGAATTTACGTACATTGTTGCACACCTCGGAGGAACAAATCGAATTCTTCGAGGCATTCCGCGGATATATCTCGTGGGAAGATATAAATCGAAAGTCGCGGAAAACGTCGAGGTGGGCTCCGCGGGGAAATTTTCTCCGCCCGAAGTCCCGCGGGACGTAGTTCGGGAACTTTTCACCCCTTTCGCTCCGACGAGCTTTAATTGTTACACTTCGTATAAATGCATTAGTCGCGTGCATTCGTTTCACGGTCTCGCGGACCCGCCGAAACTTTTCCCCGGCTCTCGGGGAGAGTTTTGCCGTCCTCCTCTCGGGGGTGTTTTCCACCGGAGGGCGGAATGGGAAATAAAAACGAGGGGTGGGCCTTTCGACTTTGAGAGCCCCGAAAACTCGGCACAATAATTTCATTAATTCCACTTCCTTAGCTCCGTTAAATTTTCCCATAGCCTTGACTTTTCATTGTTTACTCCCATGGATAAAAAATCCTCAGGGTCCAAAGACACGGTTCCGCAATCTGAAATAAAAGCCATCCTCGTTTATAGTAATTTGAAATATCAAGAAATTCGAGATTTCCGCACTTAATAAAGATTCTCATCGATGGAAATTATTACCATTTATTACTTTATCGCTATTGTTGAGATTCAGCGAGTCACAATCGCGCAGTCCTTTCGGAAATCCCTTTATCGTAATGTAGGACCATTTCTGCGGAAAGGACCCCCGAGAGCTCTCCTCGATTAATACGATACGCCATAAGGATAAAGGAAACGAGGTATCGATTCCCTTTTCATGGGAAGCTATGGGAACGACATAGAGGAGATACGGCAATATTTATCCCCATCCCTTATCCCCGATTCCGCAATCCGGGAAGCATAACGCGAAAGAAATAAGGATCCGCCACGCGCGTCGACGCTCGGTCGAGCGATCTCGGCAACATAACCTCACTCTCGCGAGCATAACCTCGCTCTCGGGAAGTAATCGTTACTGCACCGACGAGGCGTCGTCGGGTTTTCACGGTTGACTCGAAAAGTTATTAAAGCTTCTTGCTCCCCTCTTTAGGGCTTGTTCGCGTTCGACGAGGGGATATTCGAGATAGCTTTGCACTCCCACGTGTCGAGGGAGGGAGACGGAGAAAAGGCTTAGGGGTTTTTCGAGAAGGAGAGAGAGAGAAAAAGAGAGGAGACGGAGGGCCGCAGGGAAGTCATGGAAAGCGAGGAAAGGAGAGGCGCGAGAGGGACAGAAAGACCCGCCCGAGTTTTATTGGTCGTCCAGCTCCATCATGCGCCGTAAAAGTACAATAAAACCACTCTTACCCGCGAAGAACCACTCTAAACCACTGCGTGATACGGCCCCGAAGCGAGAGCAGCGAGATAGGGAAGATCGGGGAACGTGAAATTGATTCTTTTATGATCGGTAAACGTGCGACCGAGGTAACTCCGCACGACTCTCGACTCTCGATTCTCGATACTGCCGGGCCCCTCGCTTTGCAACTCCGGGGACGCCTTTGACGCCTTTACTGTGGTCCGTTTACCCTTTCGAATTTCGACCGCCGCGTTTCTCCTTTTATTTTTTTTTCTCTCGTAACTCGAGACCCTCGTATTCTAAAACGGAACGTGTAAACTGCACGTGCCGCTTATTCGTCACGTATGAAAAATAGATCAAGGGTGGATTGCACCCGCGGAATGGGGATTAACGTGGATTTCTGTTATTCCGGGATTTATAAGCGAGGTCTATTAGGTAAGCATGCATAATCCTGCACATTTTTGTTCTTAAAAATATATACCGTGGGGAATTTTTAGAAAATTATAGACATTTTCATTGCATACGTGTGAATTATACACGGATTATGGATGTACAAATGAATTCCTAATTTCATATTAATAACACCTAGATTAATAGCAGGTTATGAACATTATTTGAGAGTGCTCGAAAATTAGATAAAATTAAATGTCTGAAGCCTTCGGCGTTAAATGACGCGAAATAAGAATATTTTCTTTTAACTAAGTACCGACGTCAACTGGACTTCGTAGGGAGGGAAATTTTTCATCTAAATCTCGATCTATATTGGCGACATTTTTCCTCGGATTTTCCCGAGATTGACCCCTTTCTGGCATGCCCGTTCGAGGAAGGGACGATCGAGGCGAGTCAGGTGCGACTTTACTGTATACCTGATAAGCGCGAGTGCATCCGATCGTTATCGCTACCAACCCCGTATGTCTGTCGCAGTGCTGTCGTTGCGGAACACACAAGAGGAGGAGCCACCTGATCCTCAGCTGATGAGGTTGGACAACATGCTGATCGCCGAGGGTGTCGCCGGGCCCGAGAAGGGTGGAGGCGCGGGGGCAGCGGCCTCCGCCTCTGCGGCCGCAGCGGCGGGTCCCCCCGGCCAGCCCGATAACGCTATCGAGCACTCCGACTACAGGGCCAAACTTGCCCAGATCCGTCAGATCTACCACCAGGAGCTCGAGAAGTACGAGCAGGTGAGTAACGATTTTTTATACTTGAAAAAAACTAAAAAAAGATCCTTTTTTCAATTTTTGCCGAGATGCCTAAATGCGATTGTTCTCAGGTTATATTAAGGTTAAGGTCGGGGGTAATGGGAAAAAATTTAGCCTTTACAACAGAGGTGTTACGTTGTTACCATAGGAAGGTCCTTTTCCCCGTTATCGATAGACAAATTGGGGCGCCGAAAAACGAATCTACGTTTTTAGGTTATGTTCAGGTTGGAGTACTTAACCCTTAACAAATAGCATGTGGTATCGTAAACACGGACACGTGGTGTAAGGCCACATGAATCTGTCCACCGTAAAGTGCAAATGAGAGATAAATTGACGGAAATGAAATTTTTTTCTGGAAGGTTACGCGTGGAGTAATTAAATAATGGTCTAATGAGTGTGATTATTGAAGGGGGTAATTTTAAATAGTGTCTTGATAGCAGTTCAGGTTCCCTTTGATGATCTCAGGGGACTTAGCTTGGCAAGGTTTCTTGTTTTATATACCTTCTAGATTCTTATAGCGAGTGGGAGGTCTTGGAGAAATTTGTCGGTGACACTTGGCAGACATCCTGACACCTCGGCCGGACTGGAAGCTGCCATTACGATAATGGGAAATGATTTTACGAGCAAACTTACGCCCGGTGTAATAACAGAGATCTCGTCCTCGCGGCCGCGGCGATCATCGCGGGAATCGAGGAGTCGAGATCTCGCCGTTATGTGATTACCAATTATGGTAATGGTGGCGCCAATTGTGGCCGATCATCGCCATCAACGACTGACACTCGGGAGAGGCCTAGAGGAGGAGCCTTAGTGGGTGGGAGGAGGAGGGTGGGTTGTAAATAATCGGGATGACGAGGTCCCGCTCTTGGAAGATGGCTGGATGATGAGTGGTTTGTTAAATATATGGTTAGGCGGCTAAGAGCACTCCTTGAAGAGGTTGTCGAGCCCGCCAGGCATCCCGAAGACGTTGTTAAGGGCGGTTCTCGGAGCCTTTGATCAATGCGCGAATGCAGGAAATTCTAAAACATCATTATCATTTTTTTTTTGTCATCTACTAAGTACTTTTCTCGCCGGAGCGAGATTGAGGTGGTGGGTATTTCACTGTCAGTCAACAGGGTTGACTCGTTGAAGATTCTTTAAGGGGACTTGTTGATGTGTCAGGCGCGATTAACTTCACGAAACATTTGGGAACATTTGAGACAGATGAATTTTTTTTTTTTATCTAGAAAGTGGATTTCTCGGCAGGGCATGGTCAAGATTAAATTTCAGTTGATGGGGTCCTTGACTATGGGGATCGTGTTGAAGACCTGAAGGTGTTACTTGCTTCTCACAATGACGGATCAATGCGCAATTGTTGGCGATTAGTAACTAGAATTTGTTCGTTATCTACTAAATACTTTCCCTGGCAGGGCGAGGTGCTAGATCGAGTCGGTCTGCATTTCGCTGGCATATTTCATCTGGGAGAAGGTTGAGCCCGACACGATAAGGAATGTAATTCCGTGCAAGGAGGGCCGCCAAGCCTTGCGACAATTTGCGTGCAAATGAGCCGGTTCGTTTGCCTAAGTAAAATCTCGCGTGCCGAGTCGTACTTCCTGTCGACGTGCGCAGGTAGTGATGTACAGGTTCTCCGGGATGTTAACTTAACAACGGGAATCCTGGCCCCCGGGGTAAAGGGTGCATTAATATGCAGCGTCAAATCGCTCGCCTATGCAGAAAAACCGCCGCGCGAAAATTGCAATCCCGATATAGATTCCGTCAGAATGCAAATCGTTCAACGAGGGATTCTAGGCTGTATGAACTGGAATATAGTTTGAGGTACGAAAAAAATTAACACGCTTATCGGAATGTTTCTGTGATCTAGACGTTTGTGGCATGTTTCTTTTTTTTTTTTACAAAAATCAGAGCTGTTCAAAAAAATAAAGAAATTCCGAAATCCTGGAAATTTGGATTTTTCTACTCTCATGACGTAAGGGAAATTCAGAGCGTCCCAAAACCTCGAAAACGTTAAAATGACCATTTTCAAGATTTTTTCCCACGGCTTAGACTTCTCGCAATCGGTTGCATTAATTTGCGCAAGTAAATCACGGGGAGTACTTACGCTTAGAATTTTTGTAAGCCACTTTTTTCAAAGAATGTACAATTCAAAATAGAATTACGATTGAATGTAAAAGCACCGAAATTACCGCTCCATAATTTAGCGGATGAGTTTGTGGATGTTGAAAAAATAATTTCTACGCAACGAAAGGAACGACGGATTAATTAAAAATGCATCTTGTCACTTTTCGGCAGTTCTAAATAAACGTGCGATTGTTTCCAAAAAATTCCCCGCAACCTGGAATTAATCCGAAATTATGGAACGATGTAATATTTGTAATCTGATGTTATCTATACAGTTTGAGTAGTGGACTTTACTTCCAGTGATATTTTGCGCCCTTTTTATCAGGAGTTTGTTGTCGAAAGTCATGGCGGGATTTCTTGGGGTAAGATAAGCGAGATTGAAGTGTGTTGCGGATCGACCGCGCGGCGAAATCCCGCAACCACCGGGCCGAGTCGGCGTTTACGGGCAGATTACAATTTTACGAACTGGGTTGCAAAACCGAGGGTAAATTCCTCGCCGAGGAAAAGCTTTATTTGCCCGGGAAAAGACGGGCCCCCTTCGTCGGTCGCCGATACCGATCTCTTCGGGGTACTCCTTAATTACGGAGGCCGCGAGCTCGTATTTTCTGATCGCGTCGGCGCGTTTTATGCTTCCGGCTCGACCCAAGAACACGCAGGTCTTAAGTTTGCCGAAACATGAGTACACGGCCTCGATCGTGCCTTCGACTCGCCTGCATACAAGGTGGCCGGGAATTTTCAACGCCATTTTCGTGGTATCTAAAGATATGCGATTTATAAATAAAATGTGACGTTCGGCCGCGGTCGAAATTGACTAAACTTTGGTCGGGGGTTCCTTGGGGTCCCCTTAACGAGCGGGGAATTATGTAAAGCGTCTTTAACCATTATTGACGGATATTACGACACCCCGTACAATCGGGACGTGCCCCTCGAGCTCGTAAATCTCCGCCGCGGCGTTCCGAGCTTTAAATCTTGCCGTATCGTGGAGCTCGCTGTCACGTGACGCTCCGCTCTTATCGGCCGCAGATTTTTCTTCCCTCTTCCTTTTTCCTTTGTCTTCGTCCTCCCTCGCCTTGAAAATCTGCAAGCCTTCCTGTACAAGAAAGGACTCGAAGGGAGTATCCAACCCTCTGGGGGGAAATAAAAATCCTCAGCTATTAAAAACGCGGGATTTTATTATTCCATTAGAAGTAACTAGTCTCCAAACATTCTTAACGATTTTCCAGTTGACTATTTAATCTGTGCTTGGATCCAACTCCTCTCGAGCTGACGGTAAAAATTGAGGTAAAATTTCGGTTATCGATAACGCGTGTTTATATTCATTATTCAGGGAGAAATGACGAGTGATTGTAATTATTTTGGATAATTAAACGGGGAGGGTGCTTCGCTTAATTATTCAGGAGTGGAAGGAGAGGTTAGGTGATCCTTCCGATTTTTTTTCCCCGACGCTTAGCGTAGCTCGTTAACTCGTTCCCCTCGTGAGTTTCCCGAAGTTTGGAGCGTCGCGTCGCGTCGCGTCGCTATGCGGAATGGCGCGGCAGGCACGGAAATAACCGCTCGCGAAATTCGCCGCGGATCGCGTGCGGCCCGCCAGCTACCGACTGGCACGGGTTTTGCGACCTCAGCGATTCCGCAGCCTGGCCGATTATCGCCCGATTATAAATAGTCGGCAGATCAGTCCAGCCGGGGAAACTTGGAGTCGTCCTGTAATCATCGCGGTCGTACCTAACCTCCAATCTGCGACTTAATCAAACGAATTAATAATGCCGGTCACTATTTCGTTCTTGTAATTATAATTTTGTGAGAAAAGTGTTGCAAAATTAGAGTATTCCTTCTAACCGCGTATGGTTGATAGGAGAGAACACAGGATAAGAAGCCAACCCTGTACGCATAAAATTTGTAACAAAAGTGTTGCAACATTTTTTTTTTGTCAAGCCGTATAGGGTTGTTAAGGAGGGCGCCAGGGTAAGAAGCCAACCCCGGGTTCCCGGGGAATGTACATCCTGGGTTCGAGATCCTGGCCTCCGCGGCGTCCAGGCGGGACGACCGGGGGGAGGGGCGGGATGGCTTCCGGCTTGGTAGGTTTTCCATCCAATCCACCCTCTTCGGGGGCGTCCTCTCATCCCCCGCGGCTCGCAGACGGGAACGACGCCTGATCCACCCTCGGTCCGTGCTCGCTTTGCGCAAAGTAGAGAGCCGGTGGGACGCGGGGGGCGTCGGGGGACCCACGACCCGCGGGGTGGGAGAGCGGAATCCATTCCAAAATTGCAAGCCACCGCCGCCACCCCCTGACCCTCCCGGTGTGCCAGCGCCGCGGCGCTTCCCGCAGGAAAAGCCACCCCCGCAGGAGAGGGCCGCCCTGGAATACTGATATTCCGCCGAAAACCTCGTCTTAAACCGACGGGAATAATGCCTCTTGCGAGGAACGGCCTCGTTGATTTCGATGGGCTGCTTTTTAGTGGGATTCCGAAAGGCGACATTTTTTCGCGACGCTATTCGTCGAGGGGTGGAACCATTTATGAAATTTCTCTTTAAACTGGGCGCACCGTATCGCTTGGAATTTTATCTCGAGGAGATAGCACCAAGGAAAGCTCTGACGCTCATGAAAGTGCATTTAAAAATTGCGAATAAATATAATATTAATAAAATGTCGTGAGTATCGTAACCTTCCTTAGAGCCTTCATTTGCATACCCCACAGATGCTACTTTCGTATGTGGTAATTTGTAGTTGAAGAGCGAAGGGGGTGTTTTTAATTTTTTTTTTTGGGGGGGGAGGATTATTTTGAAACTTAAGATTGACCAGACAAAATGGCGGATTTTTGGACACTGCTACCCATTTAGGAATTGCAAGTGTCGGTGAACATGATGTGTCGCATCCCTCGGGATGTGCCACCCTCGGGAGGATCATACCAATTCACTGGTTATGACTCATTTTTCCCAGCCACGGGGTCTATTAATAATAAGGTTAATTTTATATTTCCTCATTTTTTGGGTAGATATTTTTTAATACATAGTTGGGGTTAATGTGTTGTATAAATACTTTCGAGTCGTTTGTTGGTGAACGTTTATTAGCCGGGTCCGAGGGGCGCAGTTATTTAGGGATCCACTCCAGAATTGCAAGTGCCCGGTATGGCGTTTCCCTCAGGAAAAGCCACCCCCCATGAACGCCCGTTCGGAATACTGATATTCCGCCAAAGACCTTTCCGTAAACCGCCGAGAATAATGCATTATGCTCCTGGAGCCTAGGGGATGCGACCGCATCCAGTTGCGTTACTTTTAACGCACCCTCAAGACCTAGCCACGACTCCTTTCTATACAGGTCTCTTAAAAATCATTTCTTAAAAACGAAAGATTTAAAGGAAAAAATTTTTAAAGTTGTTAAGGGGATGTGAAAGTGGTATCCGAGTGGTTATGCATTCACGGGTGTTTTTTCTCCGAGCTGGACGTACCTAATTGTTTCAAACTTTACAACGTTAATATGAAGGCCATATAGAAACTCCTGACGGCCATGGAAATTCAACTTTTATAAAAATTCTATTTAATGTTTATAAACAAATTTAAAAAAATTCAAACTTCATGGGCGTCAGGATCTTCCTTATAGCCTCTATATTCACAATGTGAAGTTTGAAACGAATCGGTATATCTAGTTCAGAGAAATGTTACATAAAAGAGACCTCTGGCCCCACTTTGACATCACCTTAAATCCACAATCGAACCGTCTCACTGATGTAGATGGTTTCGCGTTTTATTTTGTATTAATCATAAATGATGTATTATATTAATTTTTAGCACTAGAAATGGACAGCGTTAATAATTTATTGTTTATTTGTTGTACAGGCCTGTAACGAGTTCACCACCCACGTGATGAATTTGCTGAGGGAACAAAGTCGCACCCGGCCGATCACGCCGAAGGAGATCGAGAGGATGGTCCAAATTATCCATAAGAAGTTCTCCAGCATCCAGATGCAGCTTAAACAATCCACCTGCGAAGCCGTTATGATCCTAAGGAGTAGATTCCTCGACGCGAGGTGATTAATTCCAATATCCTGCTGCTAATGAAAATATGTAACGTTTAAACACGGCTTAATAATATTAACGAGCTGATTTACTGTCCTACCTAGGCGTAAGAGACGGAACTTCAGTAAACAAGCTTCCGAAATCCTGAACGAGTACTTCTACTCGCACCTGAGCAATCCTTACCCCAGCGAAGAGGCGAAGGAGGAGCTTGCGCGAAAGTGCGGCATCACCGTCAGTCAGGTGAGGAAAGAGTAATCGTATCACGTAATTATATCAATATCTCATAAATTTAAGGCGACGTGAAACCCTGAAAACCCCTAAATGAAACCCCTTTTTCGAAACCTATCCCACCATCCTATCCGAAATTTCAACGCATGACTCACAAGCATCCAAGGAATGTCCTGTCTTAAAATTTCGATTTCCAGAAAAAAAAAAACTTAATCTAAACAAACATTTTGAAAACCGACAGTGTTGGGTCATTCTTAAGGTGCTCCCGAGACGTGTGCTAAAATTTCATCCAAGAAGGTGGAATATTCATTTAGAAAAGTGTATTGTTCAGGGTTGATGAGAATCGTGATTTCTTTGAAAAAGTCAAAGATCGCTGAATTTTTTAAAAATCCCGGCAGATTGTACGGTAGTCGGACTGTTTAAACAAAATCGTGATATTGAAAGATAAAAATCAATTGATTTAAGTCAGCTTAACTCTGGTATTATATTCGGCCGGTTTTGGAGGTTTCATGTCGCCTTAATCAGCGGCCATTTAATCGTTTCTTCTGGCCTGCTCGCAGGTGTCCAATTGGTTCGGCAACAAGAGGATACGCTACAAGAAGAACATAGGCAAGGCGCAAGAGGAGGCGAACCTGTACGCGGCTAAAAAGGCAGCTGGTAAGTTTAAGCTCCTCCGAGAGAAAAAGTCGTGACGTTTTCGGGAGAGCGGGAGAGCATCGACGCGACGTCCCGGAAGGTGGGGCCGATCCCTCCCGAAACATGTACTCCAGGGGAGAACTATTCTCGCCTCGAGGAGCATTTCCTTCGAGGTCTTCCGTCCGGACGATCGACTCGTCGAATCCAGGATTTACGAGTCTCTTCCGGTGCGAGCTTCCGGTCTGCCAACTCTCGAGGGAGCGCCTCGAGGTCTGCGAAATTTAACGCGAACGAGCGAGACTTTCGCGTTTCCACGCGGATAATTTCATTTTAAATTTATGCGACCAGATCGACATCTGTTTACGTGTCGTGAACGGTTTAGAGTGACGATAACGCGTCGCGATGGGCCTTCAAAGTGTCTCTTCATGGTCTACTTGGTCTGGGATAATTTTTCTTGTTTTTTTCCTTCTTCTTTTTTTTTTAATATCTTCCTACGTCCACGTCGATGCTCCCGGGTATTAAGTAGAAGCAAGGTCCTGTAAAGTTATCAATGAATAAACGGTGATATCGAAAATTGATAATGGGCGAGACGATTGCAGATTCGGAACGGCGGAATGACGAGTCCTTGGAGTGGGCTCGCGGCAGGAATCAAAACTCGATCCGCAAAGGAAGTAACCGTCTCCCTGCGGTTCTCATTACTGTAAATCATTGCTCCAGTGAGTTACTGCTCATTGTTCCGAAGCCGGCAGTGTTATTCCAGGCTGCCAATAAATCTCAGGCCGGGTATAAAGTGAGCGATGCCGCGGCTCCTCGTCTCGCATTTCGCCGCGCCGGGAATAAGGAAGGACTCTTCGTTCGACTCCCGTCCTCCGTGTTTCCCCCTAGAGTGTGAAAAATTCCGTCACGGCCGGAATTTCGCGAGTCTTGCGAATCCCTCGACCCGGCGAATTTCCCGCCCCGGAGGTCCCGCCGACTGCAATTATGCATGCCGCCTTGGCCGGGGTAATGTTCTCACAGAGATGACCTGGACATGTATTATTGTATTCCCACGTTTTTCTCCGTAGATTCGAGCGATCAGAGGGCGGGAGTCAAGGGTACTTAAGAAATGAGGGGAACGATTTTCTCGTTACGGCCTCGAGCTTGAACTTACTACGAGCTTAAGTCTGCGGCTCTCGGGCAGAGCGGGTGACTGCAGCTCGGCGTAAGGTGCATATTCGCCCGCCCGGCCACGGGAATCTGATCCTTACGGCGAGGCGCGGTCACGTCGGTCTCCCCACGAGCCGCAGGCGTGTCCTTAATGAATGCATCGCGGGGAAGGATCCTCCGAGTAGCCCTTAGAGCCTGGAACGGATAAAGTTGAGAGTATCATTGAAAAGAAAGAAAAGAACAATCAGATATAGAATAAACCAAAAATCGAAGATTCGAGGGTCTCTTGAAAAAGTCACTCGGCGCAATTTTCTTTCGCTTCAGTTCCGTTCTGCCTGGAATAAAGATCCTTGCTCGAGGATTCTATGACAGCGCCGAATTTTCTATGCACCGCGATTGTTTCTACAGCAGCTTTTGCAGGAGCGTCGCCGTACAGCATGGGTGGTGCCAGTCAAGGCACTCCAACCCCCATGATGTCTCCCGCACCCCCTGGAGGCCCCCAGGACATGGCAGGATACGGGATGGGCATTAATGGCAGCGACTACGGCTCTCAGCCCTACAACGACGGCTCCATGGGCTACGACCCCATGCACCAGGTCAGCGGAAACACCCTGGCACCCTTGCCTCCTTGATCTTACTAGCTACTTGTCTGATGACTTAACCGAACCTTACATTATGCACGGGGTAAGGATGCACGTTGCATGCTCGAAGACGCTCTTCCGTTACCTGTAGTTTGGTGTCGTTCGGCTTGCTCGAGGTGGCTTGGAAATCCGCAGGTCATCCCGAAATTAAATGCACCGGGACTAGAGAATACTACAAGGAGACCTGAAAAAAAAAAAAAAATTAATATCCTCCCGCGTCATTTTACATCGCTCATTTATTTTTTACTCGCCCCAGAGGTGGTGTCCATATCGCGAATTTGGGTAAAAATTTAAATATCCCATTCGGTCAAAAATGTTCCAGCTAATATTATTTAATGTGCTCGGTTAAAATTGTCAAGTTATCATCGAGGAGACATTTTTTTAGGGTAGACCTTGCGATCATTTTTGAAAGTGCTCAGCTGCACTTCTTTCGTTCTCGGTATAATTTCCCGATCCCTGTAAATCAAATAATTGTCGCTTTGCGAGTGGTCTTCCTGCCGCGCACCGGAGGCAAATTAAAGGTCCCTGGGAAGGGTGTTCCCTTCCCTCGAGATCTCCCAGCAGTTCCAAGCTGCACTCGGGCATCGCTTTTTCCTGAGAGCGCATGTGCACGTCTCGCCGCTTCGCCGCATCCGTGGAGAGTGTGCGAGGGAAAGAGAGCGACCCTTCTGTACGTGGGTACACACAGGGAAAGAGTGAGAACGCGGGAGCCCAGTTTCGGGATTAAACTCGGCTGCTCCGGTGTACGTACGTATATGGATGTTGGACTGCATTTGAGAGAGGGAGGGAGAAAGTGGCGTAAAGTGAGAGAGGGAATATATATGTACGGCTCTGGCGGGGTATGCCGTTGCAGCGCGCCATAAAGATGAGCTTGGCGGCAGCCGAGAGCAAGGGAGCCTGCCGAGGGCATTCCGCCGAGCTAGTAGCTAGCTCGACGGCCCGCTTAGTATGCATTGGAGTTGCGAAGTCACTTTTTAGGCAGGGCTGCTCCCACATATTAATGGACTCCATCCTACATCGGCTGTTACGCGATAACGAGCCGAGCCGACGCGCCGCGCCGCGCGATCAGCTGATCGAGCCGAGCAGCTACCTCGGGTTGTCGTCGCATCGTTCCAGGAGTTTTTTTTACATCTTTTATTGCGAGGGTATTTTTACATGCGAACTGTTATTTAATAAAATTCTGCGAGGGCCTGGACTTGCAGAAATTTTCTTTTTCATTCACGTTTACGCCCGCGATCAGCTGGTCGACTCTTGTGCTTCACTCCGCCTGTCATCGCGTGACTATTATCGGTTTTTTTTTTTTCATCCATTATATCGACTGACCGTGGCAGGACATTTTTCCATCCGAACTACGGTTTGGTAAGACTATGAGGACCTGGCAGTTTAGCAACAAATTTATTTTTCTTTTACACACGCGTTCGCGAGCAATGCCGCGATCAGCTGATCGACCCTCGTGGCTCACTTCGCCTGTCATTACGTGCCTGTTATCGGATTTTTGTAACCAATTTCATCGGCTGATCGTGGCAGAACATTTTTCGGCGCGAATAACGTTTTGCTAATATTGATAGGGCTTTTTCGAACAATATCGGATTGTTGCTCGTCGCAGTCGAATTATAAAAATTAATACAGATGACGGAGCTGATCCTTCTGTACGAAGTAGTTTATTCTACATTATCGAATCTAGATAAGATCATCGTTATCAAACGCATAATCCAGGAATTTATTTATTTTTGAATATACGTCATTAAGGTCGAGGTGCGAAGAACACAGCAGTGTGTTCGTAATCCTTTAAATCATGGAAACACTGCATCACCGGGCCGAATTAAATAGAATTTATTCATCGGCTTGGAGGGATTTAAATTTAATTATCTCGGCGATAAAATGCAATCCAGATTGATTCAGCTCATGGAGATTATTACGCAGAAATGATAATGGAAATTGCATACGCTGCTAAATTGATAAAAATTGCCGGTGCCTTCTGTGCTTTCTCGATCGTTGATAACCCTCCTCCTGTCTGCAATGATAGGGCTAATAATAATCGCAAGGTTAACGCAAATTGAAAATACTGCAAGATAAGCTCGAAAGAGCTTTATTTGCGGTCCTTGATCTCACCGAGGCTTAAAAAGCGCGGAGAAAAGTGCTTGGGTAGAAGTTTCATCCCTGCTCGTTGATAATTCGTTGAAATTGCATTATCGATCGTTGATAATCCTCTTCGCGCGCGGCCGCAACAATTGCGTAATTAATAATCGCAAGGTTTACGGAAATTAATAACTGCAAGATAAGCTTGGAGGAGCTTTATTTGCGTTCTTTGATCTCACCGAGGCTCGGAAAGGGTGGAGAGAAGGGCTTGGGCAGAAATTTCATCCCCGAGATGTCGGGGGCGGAAAGAGATGCTGAGGAAGCGAGAAGGATCCCGAGGAAATCCCCTCGGCACGTCGTCTCGAAATGTCCCCTTTCTGCCTGGGCCAAGGCGAAGCGAATCGACACCCATCGGCAGGTCGGAGAAAATTAATTTCGCGGCTCGTCCGGTCCGCGGTCGTGACGATTCGAAACGGGCTCAAATGAAGCGACTAAAATGCATACTCTTTGCCTTTTCCGACCCCGAGAGATCTCCCGGCGTTTTCCCGGCATCTGGCCATCTTTCCGACCCCCGTTGTTCAATTTCTGCATTTTCTCTTCCGCCTTTTCTTTTTATTTTTTCTTTTCCTCCAGCCATGTCCTGCCCTCCTTTCCACGCGACGCAGATCCAGATACGATCCAACATCCCTCCACCTTGAGTGATGTCCTGGAAAAAGAATTTCTTATTCTCATAAGAACATTTTTTTTCAGAAACGATATATCTACCCGTGATTACGACAGTGGTCGAAGTGAGAATGAAAAAAAAAAAGCGGGAAATGAATTTGTCCCTTATTTCGAGTCTATTTGTGCTACAATAATGTGACGTTTAGTTTCCTGATCGATGGAAATGACTTTGGTCACTTTCATAATCATCGGTATGTATCTGGAAATATTTAATCGAGAAGTTTTTACCGGGTTATTGATGAGCTGAATTTCTCCACTCGGATGCATTTTTCCCCTGCAACTGGCACTAACGTTTCCTTGCGTAATCAAGAACTAAGCTTCCGCTATCACACATGACGGCACGAGGGCAGAACGATTTTAACGCAGTTTATTAATATTTGATTAATGACTTAGCGACGCCTTAATTAATACCTCACCATCACCCGTTTACTCGTTCGTTTGGTTGTCGCTGGTTGATTTTTCTCGGCAAGCCCCCTAACAATGAACTGTGTTTGTTGCAACGAGGGCGCAAGAGCGATACCGCGAAGGTTTATTATCAATTGTCATTTGATTTCCTACTCGGCCCTCTTTTATATGATTTTGCATTTTCCGCCGGATGATTTTCCTCGCCTGTTTGGCCGTTCGAATAAACGGAGGAGAAGGAAGAGCCACTTTTAGTGCTCTTCTCGAGCTGGCACTCCGGCCACTGCATTTATTGTCGCATAATGTCCAGACGATTCGATACCTTCGAGCCAATGAAACCCGGTCGAGGGTGAATATCTGGAAAGGTTCTTTCATGGGGGTTATGATTTTGCAACTCCGAGTGAGAATTTTCCACGGGGGTGCATTGTCACAAGCACAGTTCGCCCTAACTCCGACTTGCGAAGGTATGGACTGCTCACTCCGGCATTTTTATCGTCAAATTGGTAAAATCTTGAGCCTTTATTTCCATTACAATTAAACTAAATACTAAAAACTTACCGCCTAGATTTATATCCAAGACTTCTCAGTTTGGGAAATATTCAGAGAGAGTAAATTATAATCGATTCGCGACAATTTTCTATTGTTTCCGGCTGAGCCGTTTATACATCGACTTGTCGTCGCCTTGCACCTTCTAATTCCTCCCGGCATTATTCACCAAGAGATTTCACACCTTTAACAGCGCCTTTACCTGCAAAAAAGTCGCACAAGTGCGCCCATTTACTGCACACTTCATCACACGTTCGGATTTTGTTAAAAATTCAGTTGTCCGATTTTTCTATACAGATCTGATGTTCCTTATAATATCATTCGTAAATAGAATTCACATATACAGTACACTGATAAAAATGCCCACATAAATTTACACCCGCGATAATTGGTTATCTCGATGCCACAATAAATTGCAGTAAAATTACATCCCTGAATAATATCACATTCAGCATCCAAGTTAGGTTAAAGAAAATTATAATTAAATATTACATTTAATTCAAGTAAAGGTATGTACGTAAATTTCCATTGATTTTTATCAGTGCACTCCTTGCATATTTTGGGACACTGAAATTTCTAAATTTCATTGATAAAATAGTTGCACTGGTCGCGAAGGCTTAGTTGATAAATAGGGTGATAGATCAACTGCTTGAATTAATTAATGGCCGAATAATTATATTAATATAGTTAACGTGTTATCGCCATTTTGTATAGGCAGACTGTGTATATTATAGGACTGTATGAAAAATTGGAGGAATTGTAACTTGGCAAAATCCGAAAAATCGGGCGGTCGAGTCTCCGCTGCACCGCGCGCGCTTTCACCTGCATAAATAACACAAACGCAAGAAATAAGCGCATAGGAACGAAAAAAAAAAATAAAAAATAAAGAAAAGTTAAGGCAGAGATCCTTAGACAGTGGGTAAAAGGGGGCTGGTGTTACTTACGAGGCGCCTGTGTTATTTTCCAGTGACTCGAGGCAGCCTAGAGCGTGTTTTCAGCGGTCTAGAGCGGGCCAGGAAGCTCTCCTCCGTTGCAACAAGCACAGGTTTAAAGCGCGCGTAATTCAGCCTTAAAAGCCGGGACCTTAGGGCCCGCAAAAAAGGCCGGGAATCAAGAAGGGGACGAAGAGAAGCAGGAAAAATAAAAGAGATTTCTCAGGAGGGATGACACATCCCGGACCGGACGAGAGTGCAATAACGACCTCGGCGAGACGGATTCCCGATTATTATATTATTTTTATTCTTTTTTTCTGAGTAGCGAGCACCAAAATGGCGCCTGCACGAGTAGGGGGGGATTTTGAGTTCGAATTCGAGAGAATCGGAGACTGATGCGAAAGCTTTTTCTATGTCGCTCGCGTTTTAACGGTATGCAGAACTTCCCACGTGGAGGCGCCATTTCTGGCCTCGACTTGATAAGAGTGTGATAAGGATTTGATATTGGGTATGTCGCGCGATTAGGAGGTCCTAGGTGCATAGTGGAGGTCGTTTAGTAGCTTAAGGTCCGTGCTTATTTTTTAATTAGGCAGCTAATAGGCGTCACTCGGGCGAAGTGAGCGATGGGCGGCTGGACTTGAATTTCGGGAATTACTTCACGGCGGGGTTTTAAATTCCTTTCAATTCCTTGGATTTTTAATCTTTTAATAAATCCCTTGAAGGGTGCTTAACGTGGTTGTTTTTTTTCTTTGTTTTTTTTTACGTTTCGTTTCCCACGTTTTTTATTTATTATTCGAGTCCCCTGGGGGACTCGCAAAGTCAAGTGCTCATTTCTCGTCCTCGCTCGGTTTGCGGTACGTTTCTCTGTACATACATGCATAATTACTTAATGGATACGTAAAACAGTGCTCAGTGCGCGGCGACTTCCGATCGTTTAGTGAATTTCACGAAAAAGTAGCGATTCGTTGATAGAGTTCTGATTTTTATTAGAGTAGACCCTAGTACTTAATCGAAGTGATTTGTCTGGAAGAAGTCATAAAGATTTCCAAAGTAGAATTAATTCGATTATAAAGTGCGAGTATATTTTCGAGGGACTCAAATTTGAGTACTTTATACCCACGCTTTGCTGATAAAGAAGCTCGGTTCGTTCTTTACTGAAAATCGAGGAGAACGTCGCCGTTGCACTTGTTTTTATCATTAAATCGAGAAAGTTGCAGATTTTCAGAATCGACAGAGAGATCGTCGGAGTAGAAAGAGACGTCTGCGGTGTTACATTTACGGTTATGTTTATCATACACGATCCTAGTTACTCTTTTTTTTTCCCCTTTTTGTTTTTATCGGACGTGTGGTCCTCTGTCGCATGCATGGCTGCATGTAAAGTTACAAGAGTAATAGTAGGTGCACCGCGTGTCCACGAGTATGTGCAATGCGTTGCAATTGCAAAATGCCAATTTCGGGAGTCTAGGGGTCATTGAAGTCCTTGTTACAAGTGCAGACGCCTTTTATGACTCCCAGGACATTGTCATGTTGCATCTTAGTAATTCTGCATCGCGTACTCGTGCATACACCGTGCATAGTCTATACCTACGCGGTAGTACGTGTGTGCATTTTTCACTTCGCAAGGAACAATCGGCTATGGAGGATTTGGTTAGAATGACGAAAAGTGGGGTTAAAGAGCATGACGCCGAATTTGGTATTACGAGAATAAAAAAGAGAGAAAAAAAGAAAAAAAAAAAGAAAGACCCATCGTACGGTAGACACGACCAGCTCGTCGATGATGACTTTTTACAATTATTCAGGTTTTGTTCCCCATTTAATTTCAATTGGGAAGGTTTCGAGTTCTCAATAACACGTTCTGAAATCTCGGGAAGACCTTTTTCAGGGGTAAACAAATTTTACAAAGTACCGCCGAAAGATCTTACGCATAATTTCCTCTTGCATATCGTTATTTATTGCAACGAGCTGATCGAACGACCGTACTTGGGGACATTTTCGGCAGTACACGAAAGCAAAGCCCGTTGCATCGGTAAATAAATCGGGAATGAGGAAGAGTTACGATTACGAGGTATTTTGGAATTCCTACTTTTTAAAGAAAAATGAAACAAGGATTAGTTAATTTTTTTTTTTAATTTTTTAGATTTAATTGTTAGGGAATCTGAGAATAATCGATTTCCTCGTTTCCGATGGCGGTGCAGCGGGTGGGCCTTCGTCCTTTGAAATTTGTCTCGCAATTTGGAGACGGAGGGCCTGAACGATATCCACTAAAAATTGCACAGGGCAAGGCAATGGCAGGGGGGCCAGGCGGGGGCTGGATGCAACAACGGGAGGCGGTCCCAGAATTTCCGCCTCTTCACGATTCGGCGGACTCGGATTCCGATCGGGAGAACGAAAAGCGGCCTCGCGTCTAGGGACCCCACAAAAATCCCCCAGCATCCAACACAGAAAGAAAGAGAGACAGAAAGAGAGGGAGAGTGACGAACACACGCACCGGATATAAATAGAGATCGATGAATAGATAAATATATAAATATAAATATAAATATAAATATAAATATATATGTACACGCGCGACACACCGAGAGATGTCCGCCATTGAGGTGGTGCCTTTTAAGGGGGCTCGTACCTATTGACAGTGTTAAAAGTGCCCATTTTTCAGGCAGGTATAAATAAAGCAATGAAACAACATTTAATTGATTAATCGTGCTTTTAGGTACGTATCGGAATGAATTCTTGTAATTTTTCATTAAAAAGAAATATTTCAACTGTGATACGTTGTAAAGGGACGTGTTTTTGGGATATTCTTCTTTGTCAGTTTTCAGATAGTTTGCATTCGATCATTTTATCAAGGTGTAGGGAAATTTGGAAAGAGTTGTTAAGAGATAAATGAAATATTGGGTGGTCTTGCTTTGAATTTTTGTCCTATACCTGTCTCAGAAATGTGGATTTTTAATTTTTGATTGGTATGAGCTCCCTTAATTTCCACGCGCCTCTCGTTATCATTACTTTATACAGTTATTATACACTATTATTACGACTAGCCTTAGGATTATTATGTTATTTCGTCCGTACGATTTTGGAGGGCACCCGAGGGGGTGGCCCGAGTCTTAACCCTTTCGGGCCCAGGAAGGAATTCCTGCGACCCTTAAGGCCTCGAAAGGGTTAATCACGACTCGACGGCTCGGTTTTTTAGAGCTACAGGGGCCGGAAATGTGTCCCCGACGTTTTTCGGGGTTCCGTGGAAATATATAAACTTACGGATACATAGGTGAGGGTATGTACAAGGGATGTTCCCCACTCACCCGAAGAGTGCCCTCCGCGTCCCAAGTGCATCTTGCCTTAATATTATTTACGCCGCGGCGTACGCTCCATGAAAACGGCGAATGGAATGAGATATATTTAATATCGAGAGAGCGGAGGTGTTTCTCCTTTTTCTTTCTTGCTAGTGTTAAACAATCGTAGGATCGACTTAGGACGATGGGGCGGTGGCTCGTGAGGTTTCGATTTTTCCTGTTTTTATGTTTTTTATTTTTATTTTTATATCCTGGCTCTCGTTAAGGCTATCAGGTGCATCATTAAGGCTATCGGGTGCATCGTTAAGGCTGTCAGGTGAGAAATTCGCGGAGGCGCATGTTTAAGAAAATGGATAAATCGTACGCTTTGTAAGGAACTAACGAAATTCTGTATATATTTATCACTTGTCTCTATTCACGAATTCCAAATCTTATTGTCGAACTGCTTATTTATGTTAAATTTAGCATTGACTATTTTCACAATTGTCGGCACTGCCTGATTTCATAGTACGGCTGCATCATGATACACCCTCTCTTGTCTTGAATTCTAAGTTCTTTTTTGTACTTTACCCACCTTAAAGCATGTGATCAGCGATATTTTACTTATTCATCCTGATTAAAATGTTCTGTAATTAATTATCATTTCGGAGTATTAAGGTGTATCGTGTTCTGAAGATTGTTCAGAATGGTTGGTTGGAGGCAAAAATGATCACTCGATTTTATGTGGATTTTCCTTTATCATCGGCTATTGAACGTTGCATACAGGCGCCTTCGCGAATTTACAAAGGCCTTAAGTAAGCCCTGTCGAGAAGAATAAATCCTACGTACATTTTAGGATAATCGAGGTCTTGTACAGCGTACCGAGGCTGTTTTTAAACCGGGTTGATGCCATTTCGAACCGTTTTTTAGACCCACCGGAGTCGACTTTTCGCAGGTTACAAAACCGATCCGTGATTGTCTCACTTCTTGTAGGCGTTTACATATATATATGTAATTATAATTTTGGACGATTGTTTGCAACAACAGGATATTGTGTGCATGACCTAAGGTAGTCGCGCGACCCTCCCCACGGAGTGGGAATTTCGAAAATGCCTTGGCGAGATTTTGGAAACATTTCCTGAGGCTTTTTCGAAATTTCTTCCGCCCCCCGCGTTCTTTGCGACTCCTCGATTGCGCTTGCCTTTATATACTTTGTTGATCGTTATGTGGGTACATATAGATGCGAATGTATATCTTGTATACACGAATGTGAGTACACCGTCCACCCCTCTCTTCAGGAATCCAATATCATCGACGAGAGACTTCTCAAAGAAATCTCCTGTATACTTTTTTACGAAATAAGTCGACATCTTCTTCGGCGTCTTCGCTTCATTCAATCCGGAATTCTTCTATTGGCTTCTTTTCACTTTCTTGGCATTCTGAAATAAATCTTGACAATCATCTGGTCATACTTAACACGGAAAAGAACATCACAGGAATGACACACGATTACATGGTAATGATGTTATAATTTTTTCGCTATAATCGAAGTTTTCATTCGATTTAGAGATTGAAATGACTACTCTTGGGGATCTCTTGTCGGTGATTTGTCCTTTCCTCCTGTACACAGTTGCCTGAACAAGGATTCTCTTCTCTGGATCAGTGGCTTAGGGAACACTCAATTTTATATTACACTTTTCTTGAGACTTGCGACGGTCCACTTGATCTGGGGAAAGTGGATCACTTCCTGCGTTGATGACTTCCTCGCCACCTTAAATATATACACGTTTATATTCTTTCCAAAATGGCGGTCAAATTGCGATTCGTCGACGTTATCGAACCGCGCGCTACTTCCTCGCGACGTCCAGAAAGAGACGTACCTTGTAACGCGATTTTACATCGCCCTTAAGAAATCATTTTCTTACATTCTGAGAACGCCATCCCACTGAGAGAGACACCCCTGGACTCGACGGTTATAAAATAAACCGCGGAATAATTTTCTCCCAATAAGTTATACTCATAAATACATATTTTCATCTCACCAAACGGCATAACCGTTTCACATTTCTTTTCTAACAATTCGATATCATATAACATCGACGTATTTTGAATAATTTTCGTTCCACCTAAAAACTAGATAACTTGAATGAAACAAATATATACTGTTGCCTAAGTCATACATAATTGCAAGAAAGTTATTTTGTTAAGAGGAAAAATTATATCGTTGATGGATTACAATTTGCAACCGTTAGTCTAATTTTCCTTGAGCACGAGACTGACGTTTCTGACTGTTAAATCAATGTCACTTGATTATTCACGGTGTCCGCACTTTGCGCGGGATAGAGAGATGGAAGGCATACGTAAACCGAGGAGATTTTCAATATCGAGGGGAATAAGGTGTACAAAGCCCCTCGATTTCGTGGAAAGACGGTCGGGGTGTTTCTCTCTTGGTTTTGATGCTGGGTCGAGCCTTTTATGGACCGCGTGGGAGCTGGCAACCGGTCGAGCCGCCCCTGAATCTTCTCGGCCCGGAGAATGAGGCGCGTACATGGGCGATGCTGTTTGTTTTCAGGAGCTGTCGCCTTGAAATCCTTAGGAGATACGAGAAGCATAAAAAACGGTCAAAGAAATCGAATGGGAGAGAGAAAGAGAGAGAAAGAGAGAACAGAGAGAAAGAATATGAATTTCGAAACGCTAGCGCAATCCGATCACCTGACTATCTGTGATCCGATGCTCGCCGCCACGGCGAGTAATACGAACTAAAGTCGATATAAAGTAATTAAGGTTTTATGTAATACGCTCGAGGCCAGGACGAAATTCAGGCCGGACCGCGGGAGAAACGTCCTCGAGTCCTCCGGAGGTGCCCGAAGGTCGATTCCGGAGGGAAAATCGAAAGCAAACGTGGCGGCGTCGGGAGGACTCGGGACCAAGATGGCGGCGCTCGCCCGAACTCGCGGCGGTTTTCCTCCTTCTGGGGACACCCCCACGCGGAGAAACCTGGCTCGTCTTGTGAGGCCCTTCCTTCGTAAGAGCCTCATTCCTGCCACTGTATACGTATGTCGGACCTTACATTTTCGACGCGTAGCCATGGGCACTTTTTTCAACGTGGATGAACCTTCCCTATAAATGAGAATCTTCCCGCGACGCGACGCAGCGACCTCCAGTGACGCCACCTCGGTGACCGAGTCTTGCAGAATAGTTTTTACATTCGCGCCGCATGGAGTCTCGTTGGAACGTTAAATTAAAAACGTTACGTTAAGTTTACGGCTTATCGGATTCGCCACGGGGTATTGACTTCGGATGTGTTTTGAAATGAATATCTACCGCTTCGATTATATTAATCGATCTTTTTTTTTTTTTTACTATAAATGATGCATTTCGTACGGTTTAATCGATGCAGAGAATTCCGACGTCGTGGAAGGAGTCGATTATTAAAAACGATGTATCTTTGTAAAAGGTAGCAGTGGGTAGGATATATCGCGTCGGGTGGCAACGTCGCGTCGCGCGGCAACCGGTCGCATCGTGCAGCGGCCTCGCGCGGCAACCGGTCGCATCGTGCAGCGGCCTCGCGCGCTGCGGACATGCGCAGTGGCCGCCATTGCCGCGCGGCAAATTCAAATGACCTCCCGCCAGGGCGAGGTTCACGAAACCCATGCGACGCATTTCCTTTCCCGGGTGCTCCGTTTCCGAGTCGAAGCCTGGCCTCGCAGCGCTTTCCCCCGGTCCGTTAAAAGAAAAAAAAAAGAGGAAAACTTAGGAAATGAGGAAGAGAAATATTCATACCGGCGATAAAAAGAGATAGAGAGAGGCGGAGAGAGAACACAGCGAGAACGCGGATACCGGAGTCACACACCTTGAGCGAACTAAACGAAGCAATGGTCCTGCGACACACACTGATGTATACGATTTTTCAACGTGGAAACAGAAAACAAAAAATATATATTGTAGCTATACATATTGTAGTTATATAACGGAGGTTAGTCTCTAGGCAACAGCGTAAACGCGGCGATGGGCGTCGCGACGGCGGCGCCCGTTATATTACTACGAGGATCCCATTATTCGACAGTGCTATTTTATTATCGCGACTATTAATTATTATTACTATTGGTATTACATTATTGACGATCAACGATTATTATTGCTATTATTACACGATGTGATTGTAACGTTATTGGCGCGCATGCGCGTCGGCGGTCGAATCAACCTTGTTTCCCCCCTTCGTCCGGCTCCCTTAATTGCAATTCGGCGTATTAATTGTCGACCTTCAATCGATTGTTTACATCGCATTATTATATCGAGCGCGAGATATAACGGCGATCGGAGGGTGGCGTTGATATTATATTTACTACTAGCGAGTAGGAGAAGGATGATATTCCCCTCCCCCCATCCCACCCCCTCCTTCCTCTTCACCGTGTAAACGATACGACGAAACGGCGGCGTAAACCGATTGTATCCTGCGACCGAGATCGGGCGGATAAAAACAACTGTTGTTAATAAATATATGTCGTAGGCGGATATCCGTCGGCTAAAGGCTGGCCATCGGGTTAACATCGGGCTTTGTTGCGTATCCGGTGTTGCCGACCATACAGTTATTATAGAATTGTTCTATTATTTTAATCCGAGGTACTATGCATTTTTGGAACAATAATAGTACCCGAGTAGTACTATTATTCCAGTAGAAAGAAACACCGACGATTTTATTACCGATGGATATTTTTGTTTATATCCTTAGTCTAGTTTGCAAAGACTTAGTCATTTATGCTTTCTCAAAATAGGGGATTATATTAAACTCTTCGGTATTCATTTTCAAGTCGATGCTATTAATTGTTCAATGTGATGAATCGTATACCATTTTAAATACAGGCGAGATTTTTATTTAAATGTTTGATTATTTTAAGTTCTTAACTTGTACTATTATTTTAATTCGACTGTACTAGAGACAAAGGGAAAAGATGTTGGCAACACTGGTCGTATCGCGGTCGGTCGTTTCGGGAGGAGTCCGCCATTTTGTTCGGCTTCGCCGTTGCAGTTTTCGGGTGGACGCGCGAGAAATGGAGCGGTATTTTGGAGAGAACTCGTCGGGGTGTTGTCGGGTTAGAGTCAGGGGAGGTTTCGGAAAAACCAGTGGTCACTTCGCGGGAATAGGAGAGAAAAAGATATGCGAGATATGCAGTCCAGGTAGAGACGCTTTCGAGGTTGCTTTAGCCGAGACATCCGCCCACCGCGACCAGTACAAGTGCGTTCGGCACAGCTAGTATACGAGAAAGAGCGCTCCCGGCCGCTCGGAGCGCCCTTCTTAGGCACTACCTACGTTTATTAAAGAAAAGAGATAGAAAGTGTGAGTATGAGAGAGAGAGAATGCGCGCGGATGATGTGTGAAAGGGCAAGAGAAAGAGACCGGCGAGAATACAAAAAATCGGCTTTGTAAGAGGCGGAGAAAGCAAGGCGAAAACGAAGGTTGGAGGGCAGTGAAAGAGAGAGGGACGAGAGAGAAATTAACGTTTAACATTTATGGATACGCGTATAAGAAGATATATTCATATTTCCCGCTCCCACGATCACACGACGGACCGCCTTTGCCCCGAGTCGCGCCTCTTGAGCGGCGGGGCCTGGCCTGGCGCGTCGCGCGCTGTGGTTGGTCCTTTCCGTTGGAGCGCGCGATGCCATTGGCTCGGCGCCCGCCCGAGCGTTTCTGGGAGTCCCGACCCCACGTGACTCCCGCTCAGTCCCCTCGCGCACACGCCTGCGGGTTCGTCGCGTCGTAACGGCGCGACGCGGTCGCGTTTTAATTCCGATATTCACAGCCGGGAGCTTGGAGGCGTCTCGAGACACGCGTGAGAATGGAAAAAGAGAGAACGGCGCCGCATGCAGGACTCGCAGCCGCCTGCGCGAAAAACAAAAAAGAAAACATATGTTCCTCGTCCGCGCGCAGGCGAGCGGTCGGCTGGATCGGGGCCGCTGATTGGCTTTTCACGGCGGCCCCGATTTTGGCAGACTCCGCCGGTGGCCGCGGAAATGCGAGAAGAGAGTGCACGGGATTAAGAACACGCCGATTAATATGGGGTTGTACGATATACGACAGTATACCACGAAATCCATTGTATCGATTGGAAATATTATGATAAACTCAATAAAACTCTGGAAAGATTCTGATTTCGTCATTTTCCCTGATACACCGTTTTGCGATAAAATCCTAACAAAAGCTGCAAAGAAGGTTAAGCATATATGCGTCTGACATTAATTAGAACAAGTCTGCAATTGTTTTCGCTCCTAAGTACGGGCAATTCTCATAAACTCTCTCCTTATATGGGTATAAAATGTCGAGTTGGTAAAAGTTATTTAATCGCGAGTCATGTGGCGCTATCTAGATGTGAGGTGTATAACCTCATTCTAGAATCGCAGCTACTTCGATTGTATCCTTTGGAGGTGTGAAATGTAGTTTTCTATGCTACATGCTGTTGGTTATGTGTGCTTTGAGTTCTATTGTTTTCCGTCAGATGGCGCACCATGCTTCGTGTTCATCGTGATGGCGGGTCGCGTTTCCGATTACACATAGCAGACAAGATTACCTTGTAACGTTAGTTAACAGAGATGAGTTGGGAGATTGCTCACGGGCAGGATCGTGCGATTGCATCCTGTGCTGCCCTCTGGTTTCGTACGTTAGCTTTCACCGTTTTTTGCCCCCAAGAGCGGCGCAACGAATTACTGGGAGGGACTCGCGTACTGGCAGTCAGTTGACGGTGGTGGCTTACCTACGCTTACCGACACTGCTCGCTTTTCATGGTAAGGGAAGAACACTCGTGACGCTCCATGTGACTTTATCT